TCTATATAACTGATGATCAATTTTTAAAGGCGCTGGTGTGACCCTAATTTTCACAGTTCAAAAAATTCAAATTCAATTCTTTAAATAGAGCGTTGCTATGGAAATTAGCCGAAAAAATATGCATAAAAATCTGAAAAATGTTTTGTTTCCTTGGATACATACCCTTGTATGTAGATTCCCAAAACTTTTTTCATTGATATCCATGAACAACTAACCTGACTTTCAATTTTGACTACTAACCAATCTCTAACTGGATGCAAAAAGCTGGCACATAGGATTTAATTTTGATATAAAATTAAAAAAATCGAGCATTTCCCTTCTTGGTAACCATAGCAACAGTGTTGTATTTTTCAACAAACTTTATCAATATATAATATTCAACTTTAGTTCTACCAGATAAGTACTATTCAAGGTGAGTCAAATAATATGTTTCTTGATTAAAAGCTAAGTAAATTCCTTAAGCAGCAAAAAAATATCACTTTAAACAGCTGGTACATTGTTTCCATGGTTACACTGCAAAGTAACAATTAATCCCAATATTTCTTATGTTGTTGGTGTTGCAATGTCCTAAGGATGTTTATGTGCCAGTCATGAATTTCATTGTTTTTCCTCAAGATAGTAGCATTAACCCAATCTTAGCAACAGATTTTGCATGGTTACACTGTGTTACCATGGCAACCATGAAAGTTATTTTTAGAATAATATTGCCAATACCTAATTACTTAAGGTCAAATATTTTTATTGTTTTTCTTTGGTTGTTGATTGAGTTTGATCATGTAACATCTATCATTAGTGAATATTGAGAACTTTTCAGCATTTTTCAGCATCTAAAATGTATTTTAAATGTACCCATGGTTACCACTTACTTAGAGATAAATTCTAAATAGTTTCTTTATAGCATAAGTGACAACAAGGTGTCATGTTTTTGTGAGAATAGTTTGTTTGTTTTTCTTAGTCTTTATTAAGGCTTAATAAAGATTCAAAGTTGCTGAAAATCTCAATTTTTTCAACTCTTCTGGCTGTTACCATGGCAACCAAGACACATAACAACGAAATTTTATTTGATATATGTTTTTGGTGTCAAGTTGTAATAATGGGCAAAGTTTCATCAAAATCGGTGACCATGTGTGGCAAAGAAGTTTAAGTGGTTACAGAGAATCGCTATTAACAAAAATAAGTCGCATGTCTACATAATTAAGTTGCATGTTAACATAAATAAGTCGCATGTTGACATAAATATCTTGCATGTTAACACATTTATCTTGCATGTTCACATAAATTAGTCGCATGTTGACATGAATATCTTGCATGTTAACATAATTATCTTGCATGTTAACATAAATTAGTCGCATGTCAATATAATTCTGTCACATCTTGCTTGTATGATGTCGTATACAGGCGTTAGTAAGTATGTTTACCATCATTAAAATTAATTTCTCTAGAAAGATTGGTAACTTGCATGTCAACATAATTATTATGCATGTAGGCACAATTACCTTGCATGTTGACATACTTTTTTCGCATGTTAACATAATTTATCTTCCATATAGGGGGTAGAAATATGCCACCATAATATTGCTTATTTTTGAAGAAAAAAAAGTTGTTATTTATCCTTAAATGTCTGTCGTTCACATAAAAACACTTGATATATTTATTCAAATGTTTCCATTTACAGGTCAGTGAAAGTTTGAATTGTTTTCCGACACATGAAAAATAAAATTCATAATATCAGATGACTTAATAAAACTGATGGATGAATTAATCAAGTTATATTGAGGTCATAAAGGTAACAGATAAGGACATTGCTTAAAGTTTTCTTGTAATTTCCTTAGATGCATTAATTATGTTTAGGAGACACATAAGCACATAATGTATATATATATATATATATATATATATATATATATATATATATATATATATATATATATATATATATATATATATATATATATGACCAATACACTTGCAATCTTATAATCTTTATTTTTCTGCAGCAAAATAAACTGTACAAATTACACATATGACAATCTTTTGCCTCTGTGTATTGCTTTGTCTAATAAAAGTTCATAGTCGTTTTGACTAGGGCTTAGACAACTGTTAATATCATGTTTTTAGAATTACCGCAAGAGCAAATCAAGGGCTTCATTTTCTCCTTAGATTGTTTTCTGCATGTAGGTTAACGTTTGACTAAACATTTGATGCATGCCTAAAATTGTACGATAGCCGATATCAGTCTGTCTAAAGGAAAATTATTACTTTTATTTTTTAATTGCATATGTACAGTTCTTTAAAATTGTACATGTATTAGATATAAAAAGACACCCTTTCGTGAAATAGTTTAATGTACATATATAATTTTTAAAAGTTGTACATATACAGACAATAAAATCCATAGCAGTAAATGAAAAGATTTTGTTATAATTGTAATTATTGGACAGTTACGACAGGGGTCGATAAAGGTCGTGCATGGACATTGAATTTTTGTCAAACTGAATAACCTAAATATACTTATTGTACACCCAAATATTTGTTGTGAAGAATACTTTATTTTTTTGATTGTTTGAGCTTAATTTTTTTTTTTTTTTGTAAATACTGCGCGGTCTTTGAAGGTCGCATATAATGTGAATGGCCCAGGTTTGGTTTAAAATGCTATAAACTCTAAAATAACGTTTTAAATCTAGTGCAACGTTGGACTGGGCCATGCAACCTGTGTATACGAAGTGGTTATGCTGAAGACGCTTGTCGTGTATTCTTTTGAAATTTAAAAATTTATTGAAATGCGGTCTATATACATGTATAAATATAATCGCACACACTTGGCAGTGTTTTATAATTTAGAAGAAAATAGGTGTGTCCACGAAGATTCAAAATCCATATTTTTGAAGATTAACTTAAGACAAAGCCGTGCGACTCGAAGTATTTACATCTTTAACGTTTGTAAATTATTGTGTGTTGATATAATTTGCAAACATTCATTAAATCATCGTCTATATTAAAATAATATCGTACACGTTTAGCAGTGTTGTTATTATTAATAAAATTATAGTATTTGTCTACGAAATATTTAAAATTCTAAGAATTTTACATGTACAAAAATAAAAATATATATATAGGTCATGTAATTTTATTTAGAAATGCTAATATCGGCCACCATATGTTTCTCATTTTGACTTCAATCCTTAGAGCTAACATTCGGAAATTAGTTTATACTATAGATGGAATAATTTTAGCTATTTTTAGATTTAAAAAAAAAAATGTATAAATAAAGTTTTGCAAATCATATTGACAGATGTTTTTCAACTTGATAATCATTTGTTATTATCAGTGAAATTTTTTAAAGAGAAAAATTATAAGTGGATACAAAATTTTCAAAGAAGGCCTAAATGGAACTCCGATAAATAATTTCGTTATTTCTTTAATCAGGGTAAACTGATGATACACATTTTATTTTTCTGAAGGATGTTCGAGTTTTGATGATTTTGCAAGAAATATAAATCTTAAACATTTTTAAGAAAGATATATATGATCTACATATGCTTGACAATAAAAAAAACAACTAATATTGAGGACACTAACATTAGATCTAGTATTTCTTGAAGATCAATAGTATTTTTCTGAGCTGTCATTATTAACTTTTTTCAAACACAAAATGTTATTTTCATACTATTATCAATCACATCTTGAAAGAAAGAAACAGACAAGGGTGTTTTTGAATATGAAATATTGATCCTAACACATCTATCAAATAAGATGTATAATCTATGTAAATCCATCTTATTGATAAATTGGGAGGATTGTAAATCGATTACATGTTCGAATGTGACACCGATCTAGTAAAATTCAAGTACAATGCATCTTAATTGTGGTGAAGTATTTACAGTGATATCATATTACTTGAGAAATATTTGTTACCAAGTTATGATTTGCAATCAAAAATAAAAAATTGCTTGAAAATTATACAAGCCAACTCTATAGCACTTGTTACTAGGTATAAAGGTTTCCTTTTGCAACAACCTCTTCGTTAAAAAGATTTTATTTTGTGTGATCAAATTAATTCTGTTATCGCGTAAAACTATGGAATCCGATATACAATTTTGCATTACACATAAACAGCCGAGAAAAGATCAGTAAACAGCCGAGAAAAGTTCAGAAAAATTGAAACATTAATTTTATTCTTGGCGGGTGTATGTACTATCTCTATCAAAGTCTATGCCAATGGCTACTTTGATTGATCGGTTATATCCCATTTTTCCTGAAAAAAAAAATCTTTGAAACAGTTCACATCAGTAATTTTTATGTTTCTTTGTACGTAAATCATCTTAATAATCAAAATCTGGTGAACCTTTGTTACTCCATTGTTTTCTACACTCGTGGTATACTTGTGTACTATTTACACTCGTTTTCCAAAAATAATTAGACACATTTGTTTCTTTTAGGCTACAATCATCTATAATTTTGCTTATATATGTAATTCGACAAAGTAATTTACGTTTAATGGATCTTATAAATTAAAATGAGTTTTTCTAGAAATTTGCTGCTGCCGAGGTATCATTCATAACACAAAGATGTGAATAGACTTCGAATTTCGTAACCTCCCCTCAAATGATTAAAATTTACTGAGCGATCACGTTTTAGGGTCGAATGAAATTTGTTCAAAAGTAAGAGCAATGAGCTTATAAGAAATAAATTCCAGTAGCAAAATTTGCAAACACACTAATTGCAGGACTTCTCATTTCCAGTTTTTTTGCATGAGATTTAAATTCTGAGTTTGTATTATGGCACATTCACTAATCTTAAAAGATGCCAAAATACATAAAGATAAAAGCTAATACGCTAGTAATTAAGCATGTTTAGTGGGGAAAATGATAATATTAAAATCATCTTGATTTTCAGAGGAAATAAAATACTTCCAAGTCAAGTATTTTTCTTTATCGATATTTATTCAAAATGACATCTTATCACTTAAGATAAATGTATAATTTGACAGAAAGCGGTGATTAATGACAGACAAGATAACAAGGTCCATAATGTTTATTAGGAAAATGTCAATCAAATTTGATCTGAGCGTTAATCTTATAACACATTAAAAAATTAAACACAAGTTGCTGATTTTTTATTATGACAGAACTTCCTATAATCAGTCTTAGTTTGACTAGCATGATTTTTTTTTCGCAATGGTCTAGGATTGAAATAAATATGTACAAAATAGATACATTTATTACCAACAGGATAAACCAATTTACACATTTTGTTTTAACTAAGTTAGGTTAATGTTCCAATTAATACCATCAGTTTAAGGATTTACCCACATGAATTTTTCTCCACTCTTGTCTTCTTTACTTGTGTTTTTGTTTTTGTCCTGTATCGATGAAGTTGAAGAACCAACAGTTCCTGTAAATGGGTTCAAAAGCACAAAAAGAGGCTTTTGAGGGGACACATTTGCTTTCTTGGGGCTATCCACTGTGTTTGCTTCTATTACTTTTTCTGACGGCACACCCTGACTAGATCTCATTATTCCTTGTAGTGGTAATCGGCGTCGATGTGGATTAAATCGCATTGGTTCCAGTAATAATTGTGATCTTCTATGTGGCCTTTGAGTAAGGGATAAAAGAGGTTCTTGTTTGCGAGGAGCATTGACAACACGTGGTGTCGTTGCATGCCTAATGTTGTTGTCTTTCATTATTTCCTTACTCGTTTCGCTGGCTTTCTTCAATTGTTTGTTGGTTTGTTTGGAGTTAGTATGTTTTCTGGAAGCGAGTTGCTGTCGCAAATAAGTATTTAATCGTTGAAGGAGGAGTATTTTTTGATTAGCTTGAGTATCGTTTATATTTGAAAGCTTTGTACGTTGCTCAGATTTCGAAATTTTCTCTGCAGATGTTTTCTTCTTTTCTGTGACTATATTGTTTCTTTCCAAGGGCAGAAAATGGGGAGTTCTAGTGCGTTTTATTGGAGTATTCCTCACTCGCAAGAATAAATTTTGATTTAGAACTTGCTTTGGTCTTGTAATAACTGCCTTCGAAAGTTTTAATTCACGTTTAGGCTCCGAAATTTTCTCTGCAGATGTCTTCTTTTCTTCGACCAGATCCAAGCTTTTGAACCCTCGCAATTGTACAAGACTACTTTTCTTTCTCAAAAAATCATTTCGACTGGAGACAGGTGAAAGCCTTGAAACTGCACTTGGCATTCTTTCAGCCGATGTTTTCTTACCAATACCACCTTTCAAAAGATTTAAAAAGTCGGCCCTCTGGTTTTGCGACATCAGCTTCAGTAGGTTTTCTATTCTTCTTGATTTAATTGTACCTCTTCCCGAACGTTCGGCCAATCTGACTTGATTTATATTTTTCATGGGATTGTTGAGTACTTCTTTACTGGATTTTCCGCTTTGATGTCCCTGTAAATCGTTACCATTTCCTCTCCTTAGCCTATTCTCCTGAATTGCAAATAAGGGTCTTCTTCTGTTAACAAGTGTTGAAGACGACCAATTATTCCTTAATGATCTCCCAGAAGTTCTTGGACTAATACCAAAATAATTTCTCTGATTTACTTCTCTCCATGGAGATAATGATGTAAATGTTCTACCTAATCTGAAATCAGAATCCACTAATGGACCTCTCCTTAAGGCTCTGTTTGGTCTTGTTGAAAGGAATGATGGTTGGTCCAAAAATCTCCGGGAGTTAAGGAATTTGAAATTTCCGTGAACAGATACAAACCTCAAGACACACGAGAAGAAGAATATAAACTTTCTTGGGAACAACATCTGAAAAAGAAAAATTAAGATGCAAAGAAATAATTTACCTCTCTTCTCATCTGTCTAACATTAGTATTTTATAACAATCTACATTCAAATGATTCCATCATAGATATTTTCACTTAATAAACACAAAGCTTTAATTAACGTACCGTGTTTTCTAAGGTTTGATCTTGTATTAGAAAAATGATTGTAAGCTGTTTAAATCTCCCTAATCATATTTATATGATCTGACCACAATCTGGTTTTCGGTCCAATGGAACTCTTCTAATAACGTACAACAGCAACTTTCATTTACTCTAATGTTGAGGCAATGATAATCCATTATTGTCAAAATAATTTATTGAAAATTTCAGTAACCACCTGTAATAGGTGTGCAATGATCGATTAATTCGTGGAAATCATATCAATATAGTTTTTAAACAATGTTTCTGTCTGTAACGTATCCGAAAGTACTAAAAAATTAAAATCAAAATTTAAATTTCTTGCAAAAACATGTATATGAATTACGTGGTATGCTTTAGATTTCAAGTGATCAATTATAACTGACTGAAGTTCTAGTTAAGACTAAAAAGGATTCAAATTTGAATGAAAAACCCTTTAAAAATAAAAAAACTTAGCTCTAAAACACAATTGATCTTTTTTTTTTTAATCATCTGAAGTTAACTTACATGAATTCAGATATGCAAATGAATTGCAAAAAATTTTGTTTTATCCGAATTATTTAATAGGTATTTTTCGACTAAAAAGATACTATATTTTTTCATTTAGTAGCATGTAGATTAAATGTATGGTTGTTAGTATTCGAAAATGCAAACTTTGCTCCGTGTTAAATTATTACAGACAAAAATGTTTATCCAAATAAAATACATATATGTTTCAATATATGTTTTAATACAATTACACTGAGGTAAATATGTTTTACATGTATATTGAATCTACTGAAAACGCTCATTTTCAATTCAATCTCGGCATTGCTTGCAGAATAATAAATATATATATAAGGAATTAAAAACAATTGTATAAAATTATATCCACATTTGTTTTTTATCTGTGAGAATACTTGGCCTAATACATATGTACATACATAAAAATATAATGGACATAAAATCATATATTTTGTAGCTCAGTAGACTTTCATTATAACAGATCAATTCAACAAAAACAAGCAAATTTAAAGTACATTTTTGATCAATTTGTCTATAATTTTTGTAAAAGTAATGTACAGATCAAGGAAACTCGTATTTCTCTCATTAACATTAGGCCTAGGCTAGATAAACATCATGATCCTAATAGGAAACTCTGTACCTTTGAAACAACATTTCACCCCAAATATACTTCGCACAACTTAAAATAAATCCTCTTGATTTTTTTTTTCTCTGTTTTCCTTTGATTTCTAAAATTACAAAGAACCACCAAATAAAATTTGAACTAGGTCATTTGTGTAACCTTTACAGCAATCTTCTTGATTAAGTATTAGTAATAATAATAAACAGAGTCTCAGAGAACGTTCTTGGTGTAAATCAATTTACCTGATAATAATTTAGATACAAAACTCCCACAACTACAAGAAACCTTCGTTAAACCACAGAAGTTGTAAATAAAACTGACAATGATAGCAATGTATTCTATAAGTGGTACTAAAGCAGTGATGGAAGGAAAAGATGTGTGCTACTGCAATTTTCAATTACAATAGTGATTTACACCACAAAAGTGCAAGAATTTGTTGAGTGGTGTACACTTTACAGATGTCATCGGAGGATTCATTGCTTTTGTATATACTGGTACCAGACCATTCATAGAATTTATAAAACTTATATTGTTGTTGTTTTCTTTTTTACATATCTAACTCAAGTTGGTGCTCCATCAATCAATTAATTCGAATGCTTAATCTGGAACAATTGTAAGTGTTTCATACAAAAAGCTGGTGTCCCTCGAAGAGAAATGCTTTATGTGATAATATGTGAGAGTTGAGAACATGTTCAGCATGTTTGCAGTGTTGAATATGATTTTCCAACTGAAGATGTCGAAGGTCGAGCGAACTGATAGTCGTGGACCAATAGCACAATTGATTATAGACTCTTAATTAGGTAACAATTTTTCTTTCTTTAGACAACCGGCTGTCTTAATTGGAAAAATCGTATCTTTGTACTTTGAGAGCCTTGACCTCGTTATCAAACAGACGTACAAAACATTTGTTATGTGAAACTCCAGTAAGACTGCAACTTTTCTTCCAAACCAACGCCAGTCCTCCTTGTCTAAACATTAATTAAAATCATACGAAAAACACACACACAACCCCAATAAGTATATACTTATAATTAATATATCAAGCATGCAGCAGAAAAAAAAATCGTATCATAACACCACTCAACTTTCGAAATTGGACGTATATTGAAGATTTCCGAATGTTTGGTTTTGAAGTAAAAATATATTCATATGGAGCATATGGAGAAAAAAATTGATTTTTTTTATTTATGGATTAAATTCTGATTTATCTGTCTTGTTTTTATGATAACATGTAGATATAACAAGTTTACTTAGTATATGTAAAATGACTCACCAAGTAGTTCCTAATCAAGACATTGTTAATTTGATGATATATAAAATTGTTGTTCTTTCATGCATGAAAAAAAAAAAAACATAAATGTGAAAGATATGCATCTAACGCAACGTAATTAGATTCATGAAATATTCATATATGCAAACTTTAAGTTGATTTTTTCCTTCTTCTTTTTTTTTTTTTTTACAAATCCTTCTTGTTTACCTCATAATCTGAAAGCTAGACGTCATAAGCATACATGACACTCTCCTCCTGTTGAATCTTAATTTTTCTTTTGTGTAGAACATATCTTTATGTTCAATAAAACAGTACTTATTTGATTTACGTTGAAATTTCTTAATTGTAACAATAATTTTAGATGAAACAGAAACAAAATTTGCCGTAATAATGACCTATATTTCCATAGATGATTTGTTTCGTAGCATTGCAATTAAAACTTTGAAAAGGCGCAAAATCTAAATGGTTTTTTCCCCGAATGTTTATTTAAAAAATTTATGGTCCTTAATATGAGTTTAAAGAAAATAATGATTTATTGATAACACCAGAGGTTAATGTATATTTCAGTGGAAATTTTAAAATTTAAGGACATTGGCAAGGATCCTGGTTATTGTATAGAATTTTTCATGAACTTTTGAGTAGGTTTAAATGCACTAAATATGCTATATTCTGGATTGTTTTACCTACCAATCCAGCATTCTTTTCTTGATTTTGTCAAATTAGTGTTTTTACAATTCTTAATGCATTTCCTATGTAAAATGGTGATAAAAGGGACCTACAAAATTTTTCACCATAATATTTCTTCAAAACTCATTTATTTCATACAGTTTTTGTATTATATACATTATTGAATCTTCATTTCCTATGACTTCTAAATATTTTGGCTGAAAATGTATATATAGAAACTAGACATGGATATACCGGCACCGATCATCATTTTTGAGTTGCGTCCCTTAACAGCTAAAATTGGTCAAGAGACTGGTTGATTGTTTTTATCATGTAATTGACTGAATTGATTGAAACACATTGTCATAAAAATATTGGCATGGATTTATTTTTAACTTTTATTCATAATTACTAAATGCTGATTCCTTTACACGACCTAAGAACTGTTCTCAGTCGGCATGCTCGACCTACCTTTTAGTATATGTGACATCTTTGCCCTTCCAGCATACTGAGCATAACAATGGTAAATGACGACCGGTTGACTCTTAGTCCCTGAATACAATGTACAACAAAGCCATTACTACTTTTCTTTCTTGCTGTATAGATGATTCTACCCGTTGAAGCTCGAAATGCACGTGCTTTTGTTTACCTCTGTAACATACGCTTTATTAGTTTTCACCGCTTAGAGAATTCTACACGGGAGATCACTCTCAATTACTATTTTATAAGGAAAAAAACCCATGTATTAAACCTTTTTTCTCCGGAAAACCCTGACTTGCCAATGTCCTTAAATACCCGTAAGAAACACATCATAATTTACAATGTTGCATTATAAAACATAGCAGTTTGCCTCGTTTTATTTGAAAAGAGAAAATATATGCACATGTGGATAATATAAAACCTGTCTTGTCCGACATATTTCATAAATTTGTTAGGGCATTGCTTTTGTACTAAATTTGACTGCAGAATAATCCGTCTTCCTGATCAATACATGTTTATAGGGCTCAAGGCGGATGTGATAGGTCGACAGGGGATGCTTACTTCTCCTAGGCACCTGATCCCTCCTCTGGTGTGTCCAAGGGCCAGTGTTTTTGCCCTTTTACGTTTAGTCTACTGTATTTATGAGATTGAACATTGTTTTCGTTATCTTCACCTTTTACAAATACATTTCATTTACATTTACGGATTACAGGAAAAAATACTTCATAGTGTTTTTAAAAAAGTACTTACATGTAATATTTGAAGAAAATAGACAGTTTGACCCTTGGAGATTCTATTATATACAAAATGTAAACTATTGAACAAGCTATGTTTGGGTGATGATGACATAATGTGAAGCTTGATGTTGATCACACAAGATTACATAATGAACAACAGTTTTCATGCGATATTAACCCTCATTTTTCAACAGTCTCTTTTACTGGTAAGAAATTAACTATGTGTAAATTTTTCATACTAAAATATATCCCTTTAAGTATATGATAAGTTGATGACCTCGGATTCTCTGAAGATGAAACATATATAATACATTACAGTCTTCGTGTGGATGTGAACAAAAGAAATAATTATTATGAACAAAACTTGAGTTCAGGGATTTTACATGCAGGCAACCAGAACATGACTTTGTTCAATTAAATTCCTTTAAAGATGTCTTTTTTCTACCTTTGTGATAAAAATCCACGACCTGTATCATTTTTATGAATATGACATTCATGATCAGTCAATAGGAGCGTCATTGAAATACTGCAATTAATCATTACTAACAAGCATCACTGTTCATTGAAGCGCTTGTTATTTGATTTGCATGATCCATTTATCATAAAATCACATCAGAAAAAACGGAAGCAAATTAGTTGCATATTGCAAATGAATGTTTTAGTATAATTAAAGAAAAAGATTTTAAGGAATTTAATGATGCATTTGAAAATTTATATAAATGTTAATGATAAATAACACTGAATACAAATATACAAATCTTTTCTTTCAATAATCAAAAAGAAATTATAATACATTATTCAAATAATAATCAACAAATATATAAAAAAAAAATTAAATTTACGGAAGCCCGCTGAGGCCAGTTCA